TTCCTCCAGACATACCGCTGTTCCACGGGCCTGAAAAGTTCCAGTTTTGTTTCATCACTCCACAGAACAGAATTCCAAAACTTCTGTGGCTTATTTATATGGTTTTGAGCATATTGGAGCCGACTTTTCTTGTGCTTTTGGGTCAGTAGTGGTGTACGTCTTGGAGTCCGGGCATGGAGCCCTTCGGTGTTTAGTATGCGCCTTATTGTACAAACTGAAACCTCAGTGCCTGCTGCCACCAAGTCTTGCTGCAGGTGTTTTGCAGTCACTCGAGGGTTTTTGACCACTTGCCTCCTCAGGAATCTGGTGGCAGCCGCTGATAGTTTCCTCTTTCTGCCACGTCCAGGTAGTGTAGTCACTGTTCTTTTAACTTTGAACTTGTGAACTATGCTTCTAACTGTATCTCTAGGAACATTCAGAGCTTTTGCTATCGTTTTGTATCCTTTTCCTTGTTTGTGCAAGGCAGTGATTTCTTCTCTGAACTTTTTGGACAATTCTTTTGACTTAGTCATATTTCTAACATGTAATCAAACTTCACTCTCAACAAAACCCTAGCCAGTCCAGGTATTTATGTGTTCTTTCTCAAGCACACCTGAATTAATGAAGCCCTTGATTAGTTGCACCAGGTGTACTTGAAACAGGGGGTTGAATTTGGATAAAACCCATGGTAATATTAGTTTTATTAAACTATTTCAACTGTTCTTGTCTACTTTGTTTATTGCAAACAGCTGAAAAAGTGTACATTTTGCCAATAAGCCTAATATGCAATGGGGGTTGAATAATTTTGATTGCAATTGTACATGAAACTGCTCACAACAAAGTCTGTGGATTATCTTTAGTAACTGGGTCATGATTTCAGGAAAGAGACATTGCTGTTGAGTTTTTCCAAATGTATTGTTTGGTGCTTTGAGCACCACAAACTGAGTGCCATCTAGTTCTATTATACTGGAGTGAAGGTAGACATCTCTACCTGCCAATGTCTTCAATACTCTGCATTGCACCCCAAAACCTCTGGTTCTTTAAAATGTTTTTGTTTTTTTAAAGAAGATAAAGTGGATCTCTAATTGAGGACTGATTGTTAAGGGTCCTTTTACCTGTGAGCCTCTGAGGACTCTGACATGGAACCAAGAGACAGATGTATGCAAATTAAGCTCAACTAAAGATGTAGTTAATGAAAATATTGAATGAGGCCCTGACACTCGGGCACTCTTTTCTACAGATTTTCCATCACCCTTCTGCCCATTAATAACAGTCATCAGGTACTTTATGCTGTTTTGAGACTAGACTTTGTACCCTATGCCTGATGGTATGTTGTGACATGAGATCTGAATCAGAGGATGGATGATAATATCAGCAGACAAATTGCCAAAGGCCATTTTTAGCTCATTATAATCCATATTATAATCACAAATGCAACTGCATATTGATAAACACAGAGGTTATAAATATATTAAGCAGTATACAAAAACATTACCCAAAGCAACTTTAGGGTAATTTAGGAGTTTGTAAATCACATTAGTAGCTGGAGATGCCCTGCTATTGTGTCTTTGTTCCCAGTGGACCTGAAACAACAGAATTAAAGAAACCTTAAACTGCATACTATTCAGTTAGAACAAAACTCCAAGCCTGGATAGGATGGATGCAATCCTGTGTTCATTGTTTCTCCTTCCTTTGTATCCCATTGTAATCCAAAAATGAGCAACAAAACAATTCATAAATAGTTACATATACAAGCCTGGGTTTTCTATCCACATCCAGTAAGCCTACTTTAGATGTTTAGCAAGCAAAGCTGAGACCAAAACACCATTTCAGCGACATCGTTCCGAGACAGTGTGCATATTTGATGTGAAAGACAAAGTTGGTTGCATTGTATTACACAGAACAGATAAACTCATGAGATCCCATCTGTAAGAGTTTGCTGAGCACTGCCCTGCATCTCAATCATACAAATGCACTTGTTTGGATGTAAATCCTATGTACTCTGGGGGCTGTTTACTGCATTATAAAAGGCAACACATAGTCACATAGCACTGTAAGCGTTTTCAAATACACAATGACACAATGGAAGACTCTGCATAATATCCTTAAGCTATACTTTTAAGCTGTTTGCTGCAATTATAAAGCGGCGCTTGTATGTTGTAAATAAGATTTGGTAATGCAGCTCATCACTTAAAGGAGAATTCCACCAGTATTGCACATGAAGGCCAGTTTACTAGTCATGTTGAGCTCTACTCAGCCTGTACACACGGAGCGGTATAATGTCTTCTGTGGCTTTGAAGGAGCTCTGTCAAATCTGAAGAAATATCTCTGATGATGTCATTAACTGGGCCCCTGGTCCCACGTCATGTATGTTAAAACATAATTAAGGTGTTGAGTCCTGCATTATTCATCTGCTTGGTGCATATGAAGGTACAGATTACATACATGGTACAAATCAATTCTAAATTGCTACAGAGAATTTACATGTCAACACTGAAGCTAATCATGTTATATCAGCCCAAACCTTCTATAATCCTGAGGGCACAACACTTCTTTGTCCTCCTGGTTTGACTGCAGTTCACAAGAGGGTTAATACCAGATGTTCTGCAAGAAAAATTGACACTGGCCCCAACAACAATTAAAAGTCTGCTCTCCTTGCGTTATTAAATCATTTTGATAAAATGCATTTATAATGAGTGCACTTGTAATTATGGAGTTCTGCTACTTTTGTAATGCTTTGATTACCTCTTTAATAACTGATAGGATAGGATGCACACTGGCAGCTTGTTAATTGAAAGGGGATATACAATCAACTTTTCTTGGCCAGGCCAAAATAAAACTACATAAATTACTTCTTATTTTGAATCAGCTTTGTTTATGGTTCTCCATTCAAATGTTGTATAGGTTACTTTTTCATCAAACTTCCTAAACAGTTAAAAAAATCAAATGCAATTTAGTACCAGGAGCTCATGTGACATTTATATGACTGATGTGTGATTTAATTAATAACACACGCTGTGTAAGCCGCTATCCATATACTGCAGGGGGTTACATACAATTTGTTTCAAGTTTGCACATAATTTCTCTAATTTGGACACTTTATGACAATCGTCATAGTTTATATGAGGATAGTTTTAAGGATAGGAGTTGTTTAACTTTGATTTTAAGACCTCCTAAAACAAATAAACATATCACTGGTCACATCCTGAACAAGTCTATCAAATGTCAACCTACAGCAGTTAGGAAATTCTAGAGGAGCTGTATGTGACATTAAAGCATATCTATGATGCAGAGTCTAGGCCGGGATTGTCTGCACACGGCTGTCAACATGGAGGTGGCTGAGCTGGCAGCTACAAGCTAACGATGCTAACTCCGTAAGAGTGCTAGCAATGGCAACAGTGCTGACAGAGTTAACATTGGGTCATTTAAGTGCACCAGTGCACTTACAGGGAGGGCCAAGACAGCTGTTTAGGTGGAGCATAATCTGTCAGCCAGCAGCAGCAGTCAGCTGATGAAACAAGAAACTTTGGCCCACGGCAAAAGCCATGGTAGCTTTCCTAGTTGACAAATAATTGGCTACATGGACGGTAATGTTCACAATTTAATTTTATATAAGCCTTACGGACATTCATCTGTTCTCTGTCTTATCAATCTCTCTTAACCTGTATGTGTTTGTATAGACCACATGGACATGGTGACATAAGAGATGCTCTCACAGCTGAAATTTGAAAAATAACTATCAAATCATGTGCAGACTCTGCCTTCTTGGCATGCCGCACGCATACATCAGCGTGGTAATGGTGCAGACCCAATATTAACCCAGGGGGTAAGTAGAGGGTGGGCACTTCGCTTCAACAAGGGTAACCACTGTATCAGCGCAATGCAGTGCGGTGGTGATTAGGTAGCCTGTGGGACACACACAGGGGATTCACATGCACACGCAGTCAGACCCACTACCACAGTAGTAGACAGAGAGGCTCGGATTACAACACACACAGAGGGAGGGTGACTTCCTTTTTAGTGCTATATTAATGCTCTGAATGTCACATATAGCTCCTGTATAATTTAGTGGACTGGCTTTAGTTAAAATGACAAGGTTATGTGACTGAGTGGAGTGAAATAAACACACATTGACAAATTTTTTGATTGTATTTCTGTATTGAAAATGCTTATTTAAAATGTTATTCTGCATGCTCTATGCTCTCACATCAGCACACAAGTGTTATTTTACAGCCTAACTCTTAGCATAGTTTTACTCATGCAGACTCAATTATGCTCTCCCAAATTTGACTTATATTGATATATACACCTGTTACAATGTATGCATCAACTGGGACAGTAAGATTTAGATGTCACATTTACATATCACCAAAAAGCAGCAACAAAGCATGCCCTGTCCGCCCAATAAGGTGGGTGAAAATGCACTTTAATGCGGAAAAATGCCATTTCAAAAGCAGCTTAATCACATTAGTTTGCTGTGATTTTCAGACTAGCAGCCATGCTGGTTAATGAGGAGCCCAGCAGCGATACCGCCCATCAGTTATCAGTCTGGTCAACGGAGTGAGCTTGAACACTGCACGTGGTGCGCATAATGCAACACTGAGCACCACTCTTTCTCGTCATTGAAACGTGCCTACAACACAGCAGCGTTCAAACCGATCAAATCACCAGCACACAACTAGTCGCCAACATCCATAGCGAGCCCCGTAAAGCTTCCTGAGGTACATGTTCAAAGACAGCCTGTTTGTTTTGTTAGAGTCGCCCCTCTCGGACGTGCTAACGCTAACGCTAACGCTAGCCCATAAAGGAAGGCAACACTTGAGCCAGCTAACGTTAGCTAGCAGACGAGTCACAGGAAATTAGCTCACAGCCTACAAAGAGCAAGGATAACAAATGCTGTCTGATATTCCGTGACAAATGTTCAACAATAGAGGTTAATAACATCTACACGTCGTGGCAAACGCTACCCGGGTCCATGTTGTGGGAGTGAATGACAACAAATGGGTTTTTTATATAGTTACCTCACTCGAGTGCCGTGTGCATCTCCTCTCCGCTCGGTACCAAAAAAAGAAAACTGCCGTGTGGTTTACGTCAACGCACGAAAGGCCTGGCACTCACCAACGGCTCTTACGGAGTTTCCGTAGAATCCTGGCAGGGGCGGACCAACTGTCTGCGCTATCTACGCAGAGCACTGAAGAAAGCACTGACGTTTCTTTCCGCCAGATTGTGTCTGGGCTGTCATATGACTGGCTGAGGAAATGATGGTCAGACAGCAATGAGCAAATGCCACAGCAGCGTCATCAAAAAATACACCCTCTAACTTGATTGCATGTCACCTCTGTTTTTTTTGTCATGAGATGAGGTCATAACCCCTTACTGGGACACTGACCTTTACCTTATATGGTCATGCTGTCAGACAGTGCACCACAAGTTCCTGCAAATGTATATGATTATTCCTTAAACTTGAGTTTTCATGTTTTCCTACGTGTAAATTGTAGTCATTTACATAAAATAAATAAATATATGATAACATTAACAAGATAGAAGTGAACTACTAATAGCCTTGGTTTGAACCAAACATAATTTGGACAAAAAGGGCAAAAAAGAGGAAAAGAAATAGGCTACTGCAATCCATCAGACAGGAAAAGGAGAGAAGAGGTAAATATTCGAGCTGAAACAAGCTGAATCTGACTTTCTTGGTGTGCAGGTTCCTCATTCACTTATTCACTTACCAAAGTTTTGAAACTAGCACACACATAACAGCATGTTTTTGTAGCTCACAGACAGACAGATAGATAGATAGATAGATAGATAGATAGATAGATAGATAGATAGATAGATAGACATTAAATAGAATTAACAGAATACAAGAAAAAAAAATCTTAGCATACCCTATAAATATAAGATGCATTTCTATAGAATGTCTATTGGTCCTTGTGACAGTGAAGCTGAACCAGTCTGTTAGAGAAAGAGCTCCTCTGTCTGTCCAGTAGGTGGTGGAGAGAGTGGTAGTCAGGATTATCTATAATGGATAACAGTTTGTTCAGTGTTCAGTTCAACTTACCCAGGATGTCTTTTTGTTATCTGGCTTGACTAACCTTAACACGAGCCGTCCAGATAACCAGCACTACAAAGCTGGTTATCAGCTAGTTCAGGCAACTCTGGGTTTTCCTATCCAGCCATTAGTGGTTCATGTGAAAGAGGTGGGGTTGTTCATCACGAGCGACATCATCAAAACCATGAATATGGGATGAGGTGAAACCGTACCAAAAGTGTCTGGGACTGAGACAATAAAATGTAAGTGGTGTGGGATGTAAACGATACTCAGAAATCTTATAGCGGAAAATGCAGAAACATTGAATATACTATCCCAAAATTCACTGTCAGCCAAGACTTAAATTACATGTATATGTAGGTATCACTAGGCTATATGTGACCTTTGTGTAGAGTTGTTTTTTTTTTGCTTTTTAATGGGATGGTGATGAAACTACTCTGAATGTGTCACATGAAACACTTCAAAGCCAGACTGTCTCTGACACCGAAGTAAAGGGTGGAAAAGTAGCTTATAGTTATTGACTAATGAAGTCTATCTGACCGAAATGTTGCATTTATACTAACGGGAGCCAATTAATAGTGTGTGGATTATTTTTATAATAAAATATTATATATATTTTTCCTAGTTTCCTGTTATTTTGAGCTGCAGCGATGGAATCAAAGTGTAAAAATAGCAACACTGTCACTGTGGACTACAATAAACTTTGCACAAGTGTTAGAAGCTCAGTTTCAAAACCAGTGGAAATAGAGCCCTGGAACAATGAAATTATTCTACTGACCTATAACAATATATTGGCTACTTTTTTTTTTCTTCAGTGATCTGATTGGTCAGAGGTCGGAGTGTTGACAGGCTGTGATCCAACACTCTGAACATAACCTGGTCTGGAGCAGGTTATGTTCAGCATAAGTTAACACGGTGATTTATCCCAGTAAAAAGAGAACCAGCATCATAGTACTGTAAACCCAACTCCCTAACTCCAAATCGTGCTTTGTAGTAGGCCACAGGTACTTTTCGTCTTCCACCACTTCAGTATCCTCTCCCAGAACATACAGAGGTTGTAAAGCTGTCCTTTTCCTTCTGAAGTCCATCACCATCTCCCTGGTCTTGGCCATGTTCAAAAACAGATGATTTCTTCCAAGCCACTCCATAAAATCCTCTGCCGGCACTCTAAACTTCTCCACCTGCCCATCACTTACTGCAGAGTCGTGAAAAAAAACCTCTGCAGGTGGCATAACCAGGAGTTGCAAATCTGCAGTGAACAAGGTGGAAAGGAAGGGGGACAGCACAAGCTCCTACTCCCAACCACCATTTCAGACTGAACGCTGCCCAGTTGGACAAATGGCAGTCTTCCTGTCAGGTAGTCAGTAATCCAGAAGCCTTGGAAAATTGGAAATGACACCAAGTGTGTTATTTAAGTATGATTCTGGTACTTTTTACACTTAGCATTGACTGTTTTTATGCAAAACATGAAGTCTTCATTTTTCAAATTAGAATATTACAGGTGGATCCAGTATTTCTTGACAGGAATCATATTCCTGACAGTGTGGGGAAAGCTTTAAAACTGCCTTCAAACTATCAAAATGGGAAAAAAATGCACAGAAAGTATAATTGGTCAGCTGAATAAATAAATAAATAAATAAATAAATAAATGCGACAAAATAAGACATTTTTCAAGACTTGTTTTGCACTGCGGGATTGGGACTCATGGACTCAAGTATTTTCATAATCCTGAGGCCTTGAGAAGTTTAAGCTTCACGATTGCACGGAAATTTATGTAAAATTTGAAACATGCAAAAATATGAAATGATGTGAGGAATAAGTTTTCATTTATTTAAACTGTTGAGTTAATGAGTGTTTTTAAGCTGAGACATGGCTTGTAAAATTTAGGACATTTGGAAAAACTCTTAACTAACTCAAGTATCTCTTTCAGAACCCAATTATGTTCCAAACACACAAAAATGTTGTGCTTTTCATGAATATCTAACTCATATCAATGACTAAAATGACGTTTTAAAACACAATGCATATATATACTGTATATAGTATTGTATTAGTCATCATGGCTCAAAATATTCTCAATTTCTGAAGTATTCCCAGAAAACAATATGTTGAAAACCTGAGATGAATATTGTGTGTTCATAATCAATAGGATGCATTATAAGATGATTGTATCATGAGAAAATCAACCATATTTCCCAATTTGTTTTCTGGTGATATTCAGATATTTCTGAAAAAAGAGCACAAGCTATAAATCTTTTATAAGATTTTTTGACATGTATATGTAATTTAACATCGTATGTTTACTTTAAATACAGTTTAACACAAATTATGTACTTTAACAATATGATTAATAGACTGAAACTTGCCTTGAGCTTCCTCCTTGCCTCACAGTCAGCCGCACTTGTAAAAAAAGAGGACGTGGCTCTACTGCAGTCCATAGTAGATGATGTGGAACACTGTGTGTGGTTTATAGAAATTCAGTCAAATTAATCTGTACATTTGGGTGGAGACAGATGACAGTAACCACAGATCTAGACACCCTAGGAATGGTCTATCCATTGGAATGAATGGGGAAACTGAAATGACGCCCACCATCATCCCTGCCACAGCCTACATAATTTAAAACCTAAGGCAGCAAAGAACTGGTTACCTTGAGTAAACTGGACACATGAGCATCGTCATTCTAAACTGACAGACATGTGCTCAATATTTGCAACTAGCATACTGCCACATCCTCATTTCTCTAGCTATATAAGGAAAATAATCCCAGATCAATCTGCCATCTTCCTCTGAAATGTCTCTGTAGCCAGGAAACCCATGGCAGACAGGATGTGAACCTAGGATGGTACTGGGTGAGTGTGGTGCATCTGATGACTCATGCTGTTTCTGGGAATTACATAGTTGTAGCAAAACTTGTCTTGGCAGTTGAAAAGCCATTCGTCACTCTCTTCAAACTTGTTACGCTGGTATCTGAAGACTGCTCTTTCCTAAAGGGACAGGCTGCAATGTCTTCCAACAAGGCAGATATGCCATCTTAACACCTGCATAGAGGTGAATCTGAATATTTTACATACTCTGCATACCTGTTACTAGGCCACCACTTAAAGTTGGCTACATATGCGTATTTCCAGTGAACTAAAAATTTTCGGAGCAGTTGATCATTACAGGCCAATCAGTAAAAACAATGAAAACCTTAACGGTTACATTTCACTAAGGACATTCTCATATACTCCAGTAGCTTATAGTAAATTTACGTGGTAAATTTGCTTTTTGTTATATTTTTATTTATTTAAGGCATTTTTTCCTTTATAGATTGGACAGTTGAACGTGAAGTGGGGAGAGAGAGGGGGGTAATGACATGCAGCAAAGGGCCACAGGCTGGTAGCCCTGTACAGCCTTGTACATGGGGCACCTGCTCTGTCCACTAAGCCACCGACGCCCCCTTTTTGTTATTTTTGACATGTTCAAAATAAACAAATAAATCAAATTCATGGTATAAAAAAGTTGCCTATTAAAGCCTTTTTTAATGGATGTGTTTCTAATATTTAGTTAGAATTTGTGTGTTTATATTTTCTAAGACAGGCAGGCCTTTGTCATTTGTGCGTACGCATGGTCTGAGCCAGTAAGAAATTCAGGTAAGAAAATATTGATGATGAATCCCGGATTTGTGTGTAAAACCTTTGTACAGATTTCTGAGTATGCACTTTCTGTCAGTGAGGCCCACTGATTTTCACTTAATTTCCCAAGATTCTTGAAGCCAGAGACAAAGATTTTAATGACCACAGGTTTAAGTGTGATAGTTCATTTTTGACCTGATCTCAAGGTCCACTTACTAGCTTTTTCTGGAGATTTCAACCACATCTCACTGTCTTCCTTAGCACAGGAAGCTTGCTCAAATCATCTTTTATCCACAGCTTTTAATCAATACAGACAAAGATGCTGTTGAATGCTCTGGGAAAAGCTAGTAAGACCTAGAGTTGAGATTTTTTAAATCAAAAATATTTTGTGCTTCATGGTTTTAAAACCATTGTAATGT